ATCAGCAATGAAAAGATTCTCAGTTTTATGTTGTACTTCAGAAGAACATAAACATTTACTTGAATTATTCAATTTGGGTGTTTTTCAAGACCAAGTACCAGAGTCTCACTCTTCTTGTAATGCAGTCATTTATTTAATATGGCTCTTCTAGCTATAGATTTTGTTACTTCCACCAAATGTCCTTTGTTTCCTAATGCATCTGAATAAAAAGGTGAGGGAAGGTGAGGTTTGCAGTATGATTCAGCTGTGAGTGTTAACAGGATTAATTGTGATTGCCATCTTGCTAGGTGTAAAATCAGCCATGTCAGAAGAGGATTGGTTGGTGGTGGTGTCTCACTGCCAGCAATAGAACAGATAGGATCAAAGAACTGAAAGATTTTCTTTGTTAAGGAGGAGTGCTTCTTTCTCAGAGATAGTGAACAAGGAGGTAAGGATGGAGAGAGTTGAACTAGTTCCTGCTACTTATATATTTCTGGATCTTTGTAAAGTGTTATGAGTTTGCTGAGATCACCAAGAAATCAGAAAATGAGGGGCTTGTGGTTAGGGTGCATAGAGGTCAAAGAATGTTGAGTGGAAGTCTAGGATTTAGTGTTGAGCGATAGTAGAGAAATTCAATATCAGCAACCAAAATGAGACCAATGGTTGACTGTGGCAAAGATAATCAGTTCTCATATGTAAGTTCAGGTTGAAGCTGAAGAAAATGAAAACAAGTTCATGGGAGCCAAAATATGACCTTGAGTATATTTCACTTGAAGTTTTAGAAAAATCTAAAGAGCACATTTGACTACTAATTGAACACTAATGACAGAAGATTTGAAGAGCTGGAGGATGCAGTCAAGCACATCATACATATGAGTATGAGAAGAAAATGTTCTGAAATTGATTGTGGCAATGATTGCACAATCCTTAATATGATTGAATGATTAAATTATATGATCTGTGAATTATATGTCAAAACTATTTTTAAAAGAGCAGGGGAAGGTTGGGGGTGAAAGGGGGAACCGATCACAATGATCTACCTTTAACCCCCCTCCCAGGGGAATGGACAACAGAAAAGTGGGTAAAGGGAGACATTGGGCAGTGTAAGACATGAAAAAACAATAATTTATAAATTATCAAGGGTTCATGAGGGAGGGGAAATATGAGAAGCTGATACCAAGGGCTCAAGTAGAAAGAAAATATTTTGAAAATGATGATGGCAACAAATGTACAAATGTGCTTGATACAATGGATGTATGTATGGATTGTGATAAGAGTTGTACGAGCCCCTAATAAAATGATTAATAATAAAAAAACATTATAATGAAAAAAAAAAGTCATTGAAAAAACAGGAAAGAAAGGATTGAAGTTGATGTCAGAAGAGACTTTGAAACTTGTGCCTAATTGTAGAGTAGCTATAAAGCAAATGGAAGAAACGAAATAAAAGAGCTGCACAAAACAGTCTCAAAGGGAAGCTCAACAACACAAAGTAAAGTTTTATAACGAAATGTGCAAAGACTTAGTGTTAGAAAGCTAAAAAAGAAAAAACACTCAGCATGCCCTACACAGAAAGAACTGATGAAATATTCAAGCCCTGATTTGCAATATTAAAAGATTCTATGGGAAAAATCATGAACATTGCAGGAAGCATCAAAAGAAGATGGAAGGAACACACAGAGTCACTGTACCAAACAGAACTGGTCAATATTCAGCCATGTCAAGAGGTAGCATATGGTCAAGACCAATGGTATTGAAGGAAGAAGGCCAATCTGCACTGAGCATTAGTCAAAAACAAGCCTCCATGAATTGACAGAATACACATTGAAACATTTCACTATGTTCAATATGTTCAATGTTTCATCTATGTCAAGAAATTTGGAAAACAGCTGCCTGGCTGGAAGAGATCCATATTTGTACCCATTCTAGAGAAGAATTACCTATGAGAATACAAAAATTATCCAATAATATCATCTGCAAATAAAATTTTGCTGAAGATCATTCAACAATGGTTCCCAACAATGAGTTACCAGAAATTCAGGCTGAATTCAGTAGAGGACATGGAATAAGGGATATCATTGCTGATGTCAGATGGATCTTGGCTGAAAGCAGAGAATACCAGAAAGATGTTTATTTGTATTTATTGACTATTCAAAAGCATTTGATAGGAGGGAAAGGGGAGCTCTGGAGTAAATAAGGAAGGCGGGAAGGGGGAGGGAGCACAGGAGCTGATTCTGATTGCACAGCTCATTTGGGGAGTGAATCAACCACCGGGGAGAGAATGCTCTAGGTTGGATGGGGTGGTGATTGTACAATTCCACCTTGATATGTTTGAACGATTGAAGTATTCAGTTATATGATATGTAAATTATGTGCCAATAAAACTTGGGGAAACAATAAAAATGAAAAGCGTTTTTTTTTAATTAATCAATTTATTGGGGCTCATACAATTCATCACAATACATAGATCAATTGTGTAAAGCACATCTATACATTTGTTGCCCTCATCATTCCCAAAATTCTCTTGCCTCTTGGGTTCCCGGAATCCGCTCATTTTCCTTCCCCCCCACCTTCCCTTCCTCCTCCCCTTTCCCCCATGCACCCTTAATAATTTATAAATTATTTTTGTATCTTACTGAAAAGCGTTTTAACTGTGAAAAAGTATTTGACTGTGTGGATTATAACCAGCTATGGATAACTTTGGGAAGACAAGAAGTCCAGAATACTTGATTGTGCTCATATGGAACCGACACATGAATCAAGAGGCAGTATTTTGAACAGAATGCATGGTTGAACATGGTTTAAAATCAAGACAGAAATGTGACAGTGTATCTTCTTACTAGATTTACTCAATCTGTATGCTAAGCAAATAATCTGGGAAACTGAACTATAAAGAAGAACTCAAGATCAGGATTAGAGGAAGTCTCATTAACAGCCTGCAATATGTAGGTGACACAACCTTGTTTGATGAAAGTAAGGAGGCCTTGAAGAATCTATGATGAAGAACAAGGATTACAACTTTCAGTATGGGTTACAATTTAATGTGAAGAAAACCAAAATCCTCACAACTGCACTAAGAGGTAACATCATGATAAATGGAAAGCAGTTTGAAATTGTCAGGGACATCATCTTGCTTGGATACACAACCAGTGCTCATGGAAGCATCAGCCAAGACATCAGAAGGTATACTGCATTGGATAGATCTGCTGTACAAGACCTCTTTAAAGTGTTGAAAAGCAAGGTTACTTTGACCAAGCCATGGTATTTTCAGTTACCTCATACGCACGTGGGATATTAAATAAGCAGACTGAAGAAGAATCGATGCACTTGGATTGTGGTGCTGGCATGAACTGCCAAAAGAACAAGCAAATCTGTCTGGAAGAAGTACTGACAGAATGCTTGTTAGAGGCAAGGGTGAGGAGACATCACTTTACATACTTTGGACTTGTTTTCAGGAGAGAGCAATCCCTGGAGCAGGACATCCAGCGTGGTGAAGTAGTGGGACAGTGAAAAAGACGAAGGCCCTTAATGAGACGGACTGACAGTGGCTGCAACAATGACTCAGGCATAACTATGTGAGGATGGAGCGGGATTGAGTAGTGTTTTGTTTTCTTGCTCATATAGTTCCTGTGCGTCAGAACTGACTCCACAGCACTTAACAATGACAGGAATTTAGTGCTTTAATAGAATTTAGAATTCAGAGGTTTAGAAGACAAATAATTTTGTAGGTATTAAAGTTCAGTTTTTTGCTGTGAGATTTTTTAAAAGTGTAGGTGAACATCTTAAACAGGAAAGAATGAAATACTCTTGAGGTCATAGTGTAGTGATGTGCTAATAAGATGACTAGTATAGAGGTAGGATAATGTTACAAGGAATTAAACCCCTTTAAGAGAAAAACTATGAGTCAGATGCAAACATCTTGCTTCTCAGTTTGTTAAAATTGCACTTTACAATTTTAAGTCACAGTTTTTATTTTTTCAAATAAAAGATATCAAATGTAAAAATATCTTATTTAGTATTTTGGGGGTAAACTAAAGAAAAATTAAAGAAAAGCACGTTAATTATGAAGTATACAAGTTATAGAATTAGTAACTTTATTACAGATTTATTAAAAAATGTTTTAAAAATCCAAGAAAAAGAATAAGATTAGGACTAGAATCAAGAAATATTGCTTACTGTATTTTCACATTTAATGTGCCCACTCATAAAACACCCATCACATCATAGGAAACTTAAGTGTGAAGGGGTTGAAAAGGTGAAAAAACTGTATAATGTGTATTATTTGTATAAAACAGTTTATTTTTAAAAAAGGAGATTATTCAAAACTATGTATTTCCTGTTCAGATATATGGTAAATTTGTAAATCTTAATGTAATGGTGCTACACGATGGTTTGGCATTTGAATTTGAATCCTATAGTCTAGTGTGGTCTTCTGATTCATTTATTATAAATAATTCTTTCTTTCCAGGAAATAGCTAAATGTCTTTGTTCAGTTTATCAGATTTTATCATAAAACTTTATGCTTGTATTTGCATGCATATTATTAACATGTATGCATTTTGTAAGTAAGTTTGATCTCACTATAAATATCAGTATATATTTATCTGGCAAAGTTTTGCAGAGAATAATTTTATTAGCTTCTCCTTATAGCTTATAATAGAACACTGATTAAAATTTCAAAGTTGTATAATAAAAATAGGAAAATGTGAGATTGGATATTGCTTATTTATTTTTCTCAGTTCTATCATTCACATTGAACAAGTATGTAAGCTATATTTGAATTTAATGATGATTTGGTTTTCCAACATTTACTGTATCTCAATAATTATATGCTAGTTATATCATATAGGTCTCAGTAATGTAGTGCATGATACCCATGGAATAGTGGATGAAACTAATAATCATTTTACTGTGAGTGAAGTATTACTGTGAAGAAAACATGAAGTCTATCTTTAAAACAACTATGATATATATTAATTTCAAAATGATAATAAAATGAAAGTTTCCTTAATTTTTTTTAATAGGGTCAACAGATTTCACTAGCACCTGTACAAAAGCTTGAAGAAGCTCTATATGAATATCAACCACTGCAAATAGAGTCGTGTGGGCCACATGTTCCTGAGCTCGAGATGTTAGGAAGACTTGGGTAAGTGTCCCCCAAAACTTCACATTGAGGAACTAACGTTTAGGGATTTATTTTCACTCTTATTAATTAGCGCTAACATTCTTAATGTTGTCAGTGTAAAAACTTTAGTGTTTCTTAACAAATCAACAGTATTTAATACAATGTTAAATTTTAGTACATTAATTTTTCTATGGATGGTCTTGCTAGGTCTCTTGAGATTGAGACTTGATTACATTAGTTTCCCTTTAAGGTTGTCCTTGGCAGCCCAGTACACTGGGCTGTTCATTTTTAGCTCACCATATATTTCTTAGAAATTGGGACTTAATGTAGTCTATAATAAGCCAGTAAAAATATAAGAGCTGGGCTCCCTGCCATGAAAAAAAAGTAGATTTGCTCACTGTTTGCTGTCTACAGTGAAACACTAATGAGAAACGAACCGTATTTTTTCAAAAGTTATAATGTATGTCTGGCCTTGTGGCTTAATAAGCATAATGTATGTACCTTCTCAATCTGGGTTCTTTAGAAGAACAAAACCAGTGAAGTGTGTACATAAATATATAGGGAGATTTTACTTTAAGAAAATGACTCACAGACAAATCCCAGATCTGTGGGTTAGGTGGCAGGCTGACTAATCTGTAGTTTACATGGCAGGCTGGAGGCTTCTGCTGGCTCATTGGATTGAAATCTTTAAGTCAGATGGAAGGCTGAAGACTTTTTTAGTCTTAGAGCCCAAGAACTAGAGGTCAGAGCATCCATTTATATATGGTAGAGATAGGCTACCACACTTCCAAGGAAACTCCTCTTTTAACTAATTTTATCAGATCACATCATGAACCTGATTAAATTCCAGAAGAGCAATTTCAGTCAAATGTCTGCCAAACCACTGGGAATCATAGTCTCGACAAGTGACACATAACACTAACTATCACCGTGTTTCATGTGGAAATGAACCTGTGACCATGGCTTTTGTGACTGATGTAGATGGCCGTAGCCAGTTTCAGTAGAACAAGTAGATATTTGAAAAGGATATGCACAGGCTTTGTTGAATGCTGCAGATCATTTCTTGGTTCTGGTTTCTCAACCTTAACTACTGAATAAAAGGCAACCCATAAAACTGGTTTCTCATCAAAAGAAAATAGTATAAGTAATATAAATTGAAAATAAAATGTACAATGAATGTAAGTTTTTAAAATTGAAGATTAAAATAAAAAAGATCCCAATAGCCTAACTAAGAAAGAGGAAACAAATAATAAAACATTCATCTTTAAAACCAAAATATAGAACGTGATGTGTAATATTTTACATACGAATAAAACTCTGTGTTAAGATTACTGTAACATGGTAGATAATTTAATTCTCTGCTCTTGGGTATTTTGTCAATTTTTCTTTAGTTCTTATAAAAAACGCATTAGATCAAGCATGGACATTGCCATGCACAATAATAGTGCAAGGTGAGTTTATAACACATGCAGAAGTAAAATGTATATGGATGGAAATAATATCAAAAAGAACAGGCAGAGAGCAAAGGAAGTATGTGATTTAATGTTTTTTATAGTACATGTGAATTAGTATAATGTTACTTAGAGGTAGGTGAATTAAAGAACTATAATATATACTGTGAAGCAAATTCTAAAAAATATATAAAACAAAGAGTATAGCCAATAAGCTAGTAGCAGAGAAAAAATAGGATAATAAAAAATATAACTCATGAAAAAGAAGGCAAGAAGAGAAGTGAAGGAAAAATAAATGGGACCATTGAAAACCTCGGAAGCTGGTAGATTTAATCTTAGCTACACCAATAATTAGATTAAATATAACTGTTCTAAACAAGCATTGTGCAATAGGCCTTTCTGTAATGATGAAAATGTTTGATATTTGTGTTGTTCAATATGTAGCCACTCTTGTATTCGGAGCACTTAAAATGAACCTGTGCAAAAGAAGAACGGAGATTTTATATTTTATTTAGCTCAATTTAAGTAGTCATTTGTTACTAGTGGCTACCATACTGGACAGCACACAGCTAGTTTAATTAATGGGCAGAAATTACTAGATTGGATTAAAAAGTGGAATTTATTATACATTTTCTGTAACAATTTATCATACATTTAGAGGACAAACGAGGGTATACCCCCCCAAAAAAACCCAGAAAAAGCTCCACTGGGCGGAGCTTTCGTTGTATACATTTTTCCTGCTAGGTGAGCCTCAAGGAACTCGCTCTGAGTTAGTGCACCCAGTGGTGTTTCCTGAGAAGGTTCTCTCTGGTCACAGGAATTTTTTGTAAAGCAGTTTCGCTCTAATTTTATTTTTTTGTGATGGCCGATTTAAGAGAACAGGTTGCGGCCGTGAAATTTTGTTTCCTGCTGGTGAAAAATGCTGCAGAAACTGATGTGATGTTGAACACAGCTTATAAGCACAGCCCTATGGGAAAAACTCAAGTGTACGAGTGGTTTTCTCATTTCAAAAAAGGTGAAATGGTGATAAATGACAAAACTTTTTCTGGACTTCCATCAACTTCCTGCAAAATTTGTGCAGTTCTGCTTGAAAACCAATGACGAGATGGGGAAGTTATCTGGACTATCTTAGAGGTCAGTTCAGTGAATTTTAACAGAAGACTTGGGAATGAGAAGAGGCGCTGCCAAATTTATGCCTCAGGTTTTGACTGACCACCAAAAAGAGTGACAGCCAGTAACATCGTGCTTTGAAAGAACAGCTGCTAAGTGACCCAGACTTTTTCTGAGGTCGTTACTGGTGATGCGACATGGTGCTATTCTTATGACCCTGAAAGCAAACATCAGTCAAGGCAGTGGAAGACACCTTCTCACCTTGCTCCCAAAACTCATCAAGTGAAATAAAAGATCAAGATGATGCTCATTTGGTTGTTTTTTTGGTTTTTTTTTAAGTGAGGGGTGGGGGATAGTGCATTTGGAGTTTGTTCCATCAGGTCAGCCTGTTAATCAAGGTTTCTATTAAGAGGTTCTGAAAAGATTGCATAACAGTGAGCCAAAAAAAGGCCTGATTTGTGGCAGATGGGGGACTGGTTTTGCCACCATGACAATGCACCTGCTCACGCAGCCATCTCAGTGCACCAGTTTTTGACAAAAACCAGCATGCCTCTCTTGCCCTATGTACCTTACTCACCTGACTTTGCTCCATGAGACTTCTTTGTATTTCTGTGAATGCAGAGATGTGAAAGGATAGCGATTGGACGATGTAGAAGAGGTGAAAAAAACAGATGAGTTTGAAAAATGTTTCCAAGAATGGAATCTAAGATTTGACAAATGTATAAGTGTAATGGAAGGTACTTTGAAGGTGATAAGGTTGTATTGTAAAAAAAAAAAAAATTTAAATATAGAGCTTTTAAAAAATTAGGTGGATTTTTTGATATCTAAACATTTTCCTGGAGCTTCTAAAATGTATTATTTTGTCTGATTTTTGGAAAAGCCTTAGTTATTATCTTAAAATATTGCTTTTCCAATTTTCTTTTGGTGTTTTTTATGGGAAACCTCTTTCTTATATCACAGGCCTTTTGATAATGTCTTTATACCTCTGAGATGCCGTGTTTTGTTTTTCAGCCCTTATTTTTATTCCAATTTTGGTTTCAAAAATTGGATAATTGTAAAACTTATCTCTGTTCATCCCAACATACCTTGGCCTGGTTATCTTGCCTATTTTGTATCTTGACAGTAGCTTTATTTTTTACCTGCTTTTTCCTTTTGTTTCTTGCAATTATTGATTGACGGATATTCTATATAACAGAACAACATGAGATTAAATAATATTTATGGCCAGAAATATTTATATCCCTTCTTCTGTTCAGGACATTAGGGTGGGCAGTTGAAATACTAAGCCTGTGGGCTTGAACTTGGTTTGGATTTGGTTGTTAATCTTGTGTACTAGAGTACACAAGATTCTACCAGTTACGGTTTGCTGCCACTTTGTGCCAATTATGAGGGTTGGAGTGCTAGAGGAATGTTTTACTCTATGTCCAGCTTACAGTTCACTTTTCCAGCCAACGCTACCAAAGGGCTCGCGCCTTTTGGCCCTCCCCAGCACCAAGCTGCTCTTTTATTTTACTTGGAGTAAGTCTTGTGGTAAGAACAAGGGTGCTTCTTGGTTTTCTTCTTTTCCAACCCTAGCCTGAGGCAGACTTTATGTCTAAGTCTCAGAGTGGTGTTTTCTCAGTTGTTCCTCTGTCTTCCCTGGATGCGAACAACTTCTACCTCCTACTTCAGGATCTAGAGCATAGGGAATTTCCTGCCGCTCCTCATAGACCTCTGTTTTGCATCAGTGTGGAACCCTATGTATGAGTGCATTTCCTGCTTCTCTCTGAGTGGCTGATGGTTTTTGCCTGTGTTGATGTAGACTAGTGAAAGGAAGCAGTAAGGTTTTTTTGGTTAACCTCTTCCCCAGTTCTTTGCCCTTTCCAGCATCCGAAACTTGACTTTTAATCCTAATAGTTCATTTCCTCTAGCATTTAAGGTTTAATTACTTCCAATCTTACTGAGCCTACTCCATGGGGTATCCTCTTCATCTTCCCCTTTTAATATACTGTGGCGTTAGTGAAGTGATGGTGTTTTATGTATGTGAATCTTTAGCCATTAAAAGTTTGGTATAAAGTAGATAAAGCCTATTGATATTTAGATGGACTGTTTTCAGAACTTGAGTAGAATTGCAGCGGTTTTAGTTGTATAAAGTCCTTTTTGGCTTCATTGTGCCTTTACTGTTAAGGGTTGTATTTTCAAAGAAGTATCTTTTAGATAAGGTATAACTATAGAGGTTTACTGCCTTACACGTTTTCCAAGTTTTGAGCTTAAAATAACCTAAATATAAGAGATAGAATCACCCATTGGGGCCGGGAGGGGGATGGGGTGGGGGGTGGGCGCATGGCATTGGGAAGGGGCTTTCATCAACTATTGAATGTTTGTAATATAATTAGTTACAGGGTTCTAAAAGTTCTCCCTTTTTATTTTAATGAAGACTGTAGATTTATTTTGTAAGCTCAACCATTAGAAGGCAATTTG